GCAATGGATAGCGACGACTTTAATAAAAATATGACAAATATTTTAAATGACTTATGTGCGTATAGAACATTAGGATGGGATCCAACATCAAGATTGCAGACAAAACTTCTGACAAAATATGTAGATGACCTTTTTGCTGCTACTTAGCCACTTTGGTAAACAGTGGGGACAACGCAATCAAAATTAAGTGGTATATGAAACCCAGCCTCTGGACGAATACTTAACCTACATTTGGATTTCGCACAATATCCATCCATTTTTAATGGGTACAGGGTATAATCACCGAAAAAGTTTCGATTTTCGCACCGACCTCTATTTTGAAAAAAAAAGAGCGTGACGTAACCTCTTGCCATTTTGTCGGTTTGGGTCAAAATTTTGGATTTCCTTTTTTTGATGCCAATCGTTAGAACTGATCCTTAAGAGTCAAAAATGGTTTAAGTTTTCAAAATCGGACATCATCAAAAAGATTGAATTTACGAACGAATCCGCTTTTTGTCGACAACATTTTTCAACCCATCGATGATTAATTTGTTTAAATGCCAATTGATGGTAGGGATCCGTACGCATTCAAAAAAGTGTAACATTTTAAAATCAGACATTATTTATTAGATATTAAAAAAAATCATCGAAAACGTTTCGATTTTCGCACCGACCTCGATTATGAAAAAAATCGTGATGATTTGGAATGTCATATCTCCGCGCGGAGCTATTAACCGAGATATTAAGAAAATCGTCGAAAAAGATCCCTGCGTTCATACATACGGACGGACGGACAGGCAGACGGACATGGCTAGATCGACTTGGATATTGATGCTGATCAAGAGTATATATACTTTATGGGGTCGGAGATGCTTCCTTCTGCCTGTTACATACATTTGGATTTTGCACAAATATAATATACCCTTATACCCATTTTTAATGGGTTCAGGGTATAATCACCGATAAAGTTTTGATTTGCGCACCGACCTGGATTTTGAAAAAAAAAAAAAGTGATGTAACCCCTTGCCATTTCGTCGATTGGGGTCAACATTTTGGATTTCCTTTTTTTGATGCCAATCAATAGAACTGATCCTTACGAGTCAAAAATGGTATGAAATTGCAAAATCTGACATTATTTGACGGAAATATTTCAAAAAATCATCAAAAAGTTCAATTTACGAACGAAACGGTTTTTTGTCTAAAACATTTTTTTTAACAAAACTATGTTTAATTTGCTTGAATGCCAATTGATGGTAGGGATCCGTACGCATTCAAAAAGGTGTATCATTTTAAAATCAGACATTATTTACCCGAGATATAAAATAAAAAATCATCGAAAAAGTTTCGATTTTCGCACCGACCTCTATTTAAAAAAAAAAAAAAGTGATGTAACCCCTTGCCATTTTGTCGATTTGGGTCAAAATTTTGGATTTCCTTTTTTGATGCCAATCAATAAAACTGATCCTTACGAGTCAAAAATGGTATAAAATTCCAAAATCGGACATTATTTGACGGACATATTCCAAAAAATCATCAAACAGGTTGAATTTACTAACGAATCGGTTTTTTATCAACAACATTTTTCAACCCATCGATGATTTATTTGTTTAAATGCCAATTAATGGTAGGGATCCGTACGCATTCAAAAAGGTATACGATTTTAAAATCAGACATTGAATTAAGCACTTATGATAAAATAAGAAACTTAAATAGCATTACAGAAAAAAGTCGCAAAAACCATGCTGTTAAAATGCGAAGCAGACGCGCATGAATGTGTGTTTGTACATGTATGCAGAAATTCTTAAAGATGCTGATCTATTCAATTGCGGAGTTGCATATAACTTTAGTTTCTTTTTAACCGATCTTTATGAAATTTTCGACAGTATATCTTATTGTATCATAAAATATTCGTGTATACTGAAAAAGTCAATTGCGCTTAAATTTTGGCTTTAATTGGTTGGCAATAAAAGTTGGGTTATTAACTTTATTTATAGCTCTTTGGAATTAGCGGGGAGGTGGCGATGGGTATAAAATGAAAGATACTTGACAATGTCAAGTTGCGTCGTTAAGTTCAGACCAAGTTCGATTGAACGGGTCTTTAAAATGAACTACTGAAGTTATTCAGTTGAGCAGAATCACTAACCAAACAACATATAGACTGGACATCACATACAAATAACGTTGTCGCAAAAAGTATCGGAGGCATCTGGTCCCAACTCGCGAGTAAGGGAGTGAGATATACATATGATGTATTTTTGAACCGCTTACTCTACAGGAAAGTGCTTAGCGCACTCTCTTCCATATGATTTGTGCGATAGAACGGCAACGCTGTTAACTTTAATCTTACTCGCACTTACTCTCACCTCTCAATGCTCTCTTTATGTTTAGGGATCGTTTAAATGTGTGTGTGTTGTGTATTTGTCCGACAAGCAAAACTGCGCACAAATTCAATTTTTCTCAAATGCTGAGGCATTTCTACCCTTTTGAAGGCACGGCTAATATGAAATAGAGAAAGGGTTTGCCACGTCGATGCGAAATTCTTGCATTTTAGCTCGCTATCGTTGGTAAGGAGACCCAAGCGTTGACATGTGTGCACTTAAAATATTTTGGACTCGCTATTCACGCATACTTGCATATTTTGTATATGAATAGAAGCATTTATGCGCTTGTGTGCCTGTTGCTTGCCTGCCTGCCTGTCCCCGATGCAAATTTAACAAGATTTTAGGATATCGGATTTTGGACCTCTACACATAGACACACACATACAAATGTCTGTGAATGGGCTGATCATGGGAGCAAAAGAAAATACATTATTGTCACGCGTCTGACGCGCGCACTTCTCTTTAATGATTTTGATGAATAAAATTTGAGTAAAAATAAAAATCTTTAAAATATTTAAATATACCAAATTAAGATAAAGAAATAAGATAAGATAAAGAAATTAGACTATGAGACGGAATAGAAGTAAAACTCAGATTAGATGAAGGCACGGGCGGAGTCCGAGTCCAAATTAATTGCCTGCAGTCGAAGTTGAAAGTTTTTCAAGTCCTAATAAGGCAGAAGGTCAAGAAGCTAATAACATAGAGGAATATCTTTTAAATAGTTCTTATGATTAATCATAATACAATATTGAGATAGATTACCAATATGCAGCGGAATTTAGTGGAAGCAGTACGCGTAGGAAGAGCTAGACTTTCGTTAAAAAAGTTTAATAACCATCTTAAATTGCCACAATTACTCGGAATCTCGATTATAAGGGAAAAAGTGGTTTACTGTTAACAAGCAAGAACCAGAAACTTCTTTCAAGGATTTTAAATTGGCTGGAGAGACAGAAAACGTAGAGACAACAGCAATTTAAGGAAATGTCTGATAAAATCTGTATGGATGTAACATAGTAACAAGGAATTCACAAAGAAAGAACCATCCGATGTTGTAAAGTTAACAAACTTTATAAAAGAAAATATAAGTGTTCGCCCAAAGCATTTACAGTTCAGATCATCATCTCAACCTTCCGTCGTTAACCAACAGTAGGACAATTCTCGGTGTTGTCCTTCTACATAAGTTGATTATTGACATAGATTCTCCTCTACTGCTAGGGCGTCTTCAATTCTCTGTTCCGGCTAGACCAACCAGAAATTATCGCTCTTTATTACTATCTACGTGCACAACAGATTAGGCTATGCACAATCCTTTTCGCGTGCTATGTAAAAATTATAATAGTTTGCATCACGTTTTCTCTACCGAACTGTCTCTACCCCTAATAAAATCGTTGCTTTCAGGATACCTTCGGGAAGTCGCTCACCATTCCCAGCTATGAGCAGGGGCATAGCTTGCCGGACAGGCTGAAAAATTTTCCCCCACCGGGTCGGTGATTTTCCATTACTTTTCTCTTTGTCCTATCTACTTAACACTCTTTATCTAACTTACATTGCTTTACTTTATTAACAATCTTCTTACTTTCTTTTTTCCTATTTATTGTATTTTCTTTATTAATATAGCAAATTAAGATTATTTTTAATTTTACTTGAGATCACTTTCTTCCTACTTACAACCTTCTGCTTAGATGTAGGCTCTAATAGCGCCACTGACAAAATTAGCTGTGAAAAGGGGCACAGCTGGCCGGACTGGCAAATTAAACACCTCCATCGGTCGGTGATGCTATTTAGAAAATTGTATCCTTTAACTAGGCTTTTAGCATATAATTCTATTATACAATCTTTTGAATAATGAGGAAGACACTCGTTTTGTCGACCATTAATAAATAAATAAATAAATAATACACACCCTCTATCTCTTTTAATCATGCTCTTCTGCGATAGAGAGATACATATAAAAATATCTATATCTAATGTTTTGAAGCAGACAGAGTTCCGAACAAAGAACATTTTTAATACCTTTCTGAAAACGGTTGTGCTATTTTTCATAACATATTTCACCCCACTAAATGTGCAAAGTCTCCCAAGAAATTATCCTTCGTCTTATCGGTCCAAGAATGGATGCAAGTTGCAGCTCTCACTGGATACAGGACATTTTGAATTCGAGGAAGGCAACGAGTGTCGACATGAATCTATTGCGGCTTCTTATAAATCGAACATCATAGCATAATACGCGAAATGATCGAATGTCATTTTAGTGTACGTTTGTCCAGCCCAGTCTCCGTACAAGTACGAAAAGTGGAAAATAGGGAAGTATTTGCTAAACGCGAAAACCTTTTGCACACCGCAAAAATATTCGATCCAACAGGATGGCTATCTCCCTCTGTTATTTGTACCAAACTGTTTATGCAATAAATACTAAGATCGTGTACGAGTAGAATATAGTATATATCAATGAACCATTCAATATTTATTGAAAAGTTGTAATCTTACAAAATTTTCTGTAAAACTTATAAACGAATCTGCTAATCTGTTTAATAATCGTCAAAATAAAAAAAAAACAATGCTTAATGTTACCTTTGTTTAAGGTCTGGCCTTTGGTAAATTCTTTTATATTAATATTTATTAATATTGTTTCAAAATATATTTTTATAAATGCGTATGTCTAGTTAAAATAGACTTTTTACTCAAGTATGCGAAAATATATAAATAATACCATAATAACATTTCTAAATAACAAGTCGTTGACTAGACATTCGTCGGTATCGAGAATTAAGAATTTGATTCGCTCTTTAACTTTTTCAGAAAATCCTTTGCTTGCTTATCACCTTGTCTATGCTCCAGAGCACGCAATGGAATCTTGAAAAAATTAAATATGTTAGCATTTTGAACTTGTAGAAAATAACTGTTTACCTGTGATATCTGGTCTAGATAGGCTCATAATAATTTGCTCGCCCTTAGATGCTGTGAGATCTGCAAACGTTATATAACATTCTGCTATATATTGACTTGTCATTCCAAATAAATCCTTATCCTTAACACTAAATAAAACCAAGCTATCTTCCATCACGCGTTGATCCGAATTCAAATTACTAACATATATAAATAATAATTCATATATATGAAGTGATCCAATAGAAAGATTTACTTACAAGTTAAATTGTTCGTCATAGAGTGGAAAGCAATTTTTATTATGAACGGCCGTTTTTACTGGTGTAAGCCCATTAAATCGACCAGTAGGCATTATGTAGACTTTAATAAATGAATCACATAGTCCGTTTTTATTCATAGAAACTAAGTTGCGAGCATTTAATATTTTGAGCTGAAATGTAATGAAAATGGGTAAAAAGGGTATACTGGATCTGTGCAAATATAACACGCAAAACGAAGCAAATAATAACTCCAATTGGCACTACAGACAGCTTTGAGGATGTTTCCGACATGCGATCAAGATCAACTATGCAACATACAAGTTATTAAGGAAAACGTTTGTTCATATTGACAAGCCACGGGACAGTAAGCGCCTAACGTACGTTCTCAAAAAATAATTATAGAATTGCAATTGCAATTGTATTATATATGTGTGCCGCTATTTTTATTATTTGTATACCCTGAACCCATTTAAAATGGGTATAAAGCGTCTAATGTATATGTGCAAATGTATGTATGTCCGTCTGTCCATATGTATGAACGCAAGGATCTCAGAACCTAAAGGAGATAGAGACTTGAAATTTGAGCTGTAGTGCCCGCGCAGATCGAATTTGCTTCTGACCATGTTATCGAATCTACGCATATGTTAAGGTCGATCTGAAAAGCTAGACATTTGTTGTCGTGAACGTACATTGCACAAGAAAATCAACCTTATGTAACTTTGGCGGCGGTAGGGGGTGATATAACGTGTTATGTGCGCTACATACGGAAATATTAACTTCTCAAAGTTTAATCCTTGTGAGAGTTCGGTTCATGATTAAATTGTCTGGTTGCTTTGCTTAGCTCGCCGAATGGAATGTGGGATCTAATGGTAAATAATATTCATGGTCAAGACTGGTGCTTATAAAGGTCTAAGAGAAATCGGAAGGATGACATAACTGAGTTTACACACTCCATTTTCCGTCTCTATAAATGGCATGATCCCCGCGTGTGATATTTTTGGAATTGTTCCTTTTGTTACAGTTACATTTTATAGCTCCGCCATGACTTTTTCTTCCACACCACTATGCCTCTAATAAAATTTACTTCAAGTACACTAAGTTTAATTATTATATCGACGATATCTCAGCAAATAATAATAAACAATCTTTGCTTCTTAAAAATTGAACAGATATTTCTGTTTTAAAATGTATGTGCTAGAGGAGCATACAACTTATTGCTGCTCATTGGATTGTTTGTCCAATATATTCAATATACAATATATGTGAGAGTATTAAGTATTACGCACAGCGAGGCATCCAATTTAAAAAGATCCCATCCAATGCTGTTGGTACCTAGTGTTGCCACACTACCTAAGAACTAATTTCTATTTCGACTAAATTTGACTTAGATAAGAGAATAGAAAAAAAAACAGTTGAGGCTTTCAGACTGCTAATATAGACAAATCTAATTTCTTTTTCTACAATGCAGCAATTTCAGTACAATGTAATTTTATTTTTATGGTGTTGTTATATGAAATCTTGGTATTTTGAGAGAATTAGAAATAAGAAATAACGACAGGTAACTAAATCTTTAATGGCCAGTTATAGTTATTATAAACAGTTCAGAATCAGTCTGAACGAAAGTATCTGTTTGCCTCTAAGCTTATGAATTATTAGCAAATTTATTAGTATTTTAGTATCATTGACAATACTAAATAATATAATAATATTAGGAAATTAATATTTGTAATTTAAGATAAAGAAATTAGACTATGAGACGTAATAGAAGTAGAACTCAGATTAGAAAACGGAGCGCGGGGAGTCGGAGTCCAAAATAATTTTATGCAGTCGAAGTAGAAAGTTCTCCAAGCCCTAATAAGGCAGAAAGTCAAGAAGCTAATAGCAAAGAGGAATATCTTTAAAGAGTTCTTATGATTAATCATAATACAATATTGAGATAGATTACCAATATGCAGCGAAATTTAGTGGAAGCGTTACTCGTAGAAAGAACTAGACTTTCGTTAAAAAAGTTTAATAACCATCTTAAATTGCCACAATTACTCGGAATCTCGATTATAAGGGAAAAAGTGGTTTACTGCTAAATAGCAAGAACCAGAAACTTCTTTCAAGGATTTTAAATTGGCTGGAGAGACGGAAAACGTAGAGACAACAGCAATTTAAGGAAATGTCTAATAAAATCTGTATGGATGTAACATAGTAACAAAGAATTCACAAAGAAAGAACCATCCGATGTTGTAAAGTTAACAAACTTTATAAAAGAAAATATAAGTGTTTGCCCAAAGCATTTACAGTTCAGATCATCTATTGTCAGAAGCACATTAACCCGAAAAGTAACCGAAATGAGGGGAGTAAATGTAAATGTAGAAGAATCTGACAGTAAAAAGGAAACAGAAGTAGTCACTTTCAGGAAATCTATACAAAATATGTTTTTACTCATCAATGCATACACATAATAAAATGTATAACAACAGCCAGGATCGTATTGAATCTGTTCAGAAGCAATTTCTGCTTTTTGCCTTACGAGGTTTAAATTGGGACCCTAATCTTCTGTTGCCGTCCTACTCCATTGGCGACATAGATTCTCCTCTTCTGCTAGGGCGTCTTCAATTTTCTGTTCCGGCTAGACCAACCAGAAATTATCGCCCCTTATTACTATCTAATGCACAACAAATTACGCTATGAACAATCCTTTTCGCGTGCTATGTAAAAATTAAAATAGTTTGCATTACGTTTTCTCTACCGAACTGTCTCTACCCCTAATAAAATCGTTGCCTTCAGGATACCTTCGGGAAGTCGTTCACCATTCCCAGCTATGAGCAGGGGCATAGCTTGACGGACAGGCTGAAAAATTTTCCCCCAAAAAAAATTTTCGGTGATTTTCCATTACTTTTCTCTTTGTCCTATCTACTTAACACTTTTTATCTAACTTACATTGATTTACTTTATTAACAATCTTCTTACTTTCTTTTTTCCTATTTATTGTATTTTCTTTATTAATATAGCAAATTAAGATTATTTTTAATTTTACTTGAGATCACTTTTTTCTTACTTACAAACTTCTGCTTAGATGTAGGCTCTAATAGCGTCACTGACAAAATTAGCTGTGAAAAGGGGCACAGCTGGCCGGACTGGCAAATAAAACACCTCCATCGGTCGGTGATGCTATTTAGAAAATTGTATCCTTTAAATAGGCTTTTAGCATATAATTCTATTATACAATCTTTTGAATAATGAGGAAGAGACTCGTTTTGTCGACCATTAATAAATAAATAAATAAATAATACACACCCTCTATCTCTTTTAATCATGCTCTTCTGCGATAGAGCGATACATATAAAAATATCTATATCTAATGTTTTGAAGCAGACAGAGTTCCGAACAAAGAACATTTTTAATACCTTACTGAAAACGGTTGTGCTATTTTTTATAACATATTTCACCCCACTAAATGTGCAAAGTCTCCCAAGAAATTATCCTTCGTCTTATCGGTCCAAGAATGGATGCAAGTTGCAGCTCTCACTGGATACAGGACATTTTGAATTCGAGGAAGGCAACGAGTGTCGACATGAATCTATTGCAGCTTCTTATAAAGCGAACATCATAGCATAATACGCGAAATGATCGAATGTCATTTTAGTGTACGTTTGTCTAGCCCAATCTCCGTACAAGTACGAAAAGTGGAAAATAGGGAAGTATTTACTAAACGCGAAAAACTTTGCAAACCGCTAAAATTTTCGATCCAACAAGATGGCTATCTCCCTTTGTTATTTCTACCAAACTTTTTATGCAATAAATACTAAGATCGTGTACGAGTAGAATATAGTATATATCGATGAACCATTCAATATTTATTGAAAAGTTGTAATCTTAAAAAATTATCTGTAAAACTTATAAACGAGTCTGCTAATCTGTTTAATAATCGTCGCCCTTGTTTAAGGTCTGGCCTTTGGTAAATTCTTTTATATTCATATTTATTAATATTGTTTCAAAATATATTTATATAAATGCGTATGTCTAGTTAAAATGGACTTTTTACTCAAGTTTGCGAAAATATATAAATAATACCATAATAACATTTGTAAATAACAAGTCGTTGACTAGACATTCGTCAGTATCGAGAATTAAGAATTTGATTTGCTCTTTAACTTTTTCAGAAAATCCTTTGCTTGCTTATCACCTTGTCTATGCTCCAGAGCACGCAATGCCATGGAATCTTGAAAAAATTAAATATGTTAGCATTTTGAACTTGTAGAAAATAACTGTTTACCTGTGATATCTGGTCTACATAGGCTCATAATAATTTGCTCGCCATTAGATGCTGTGAGATCTGCAAACGTTATATAACATTCTGCTATATATTGACTTGTCATTCCAAATAAATCCTTATCCTTTACACTAAATAAAATCAAGCTATCTTCCATCAGGCGTTGATCCGAATTCAAATTACTAACATATATAAATAATAATTCATATATATGAAGTGATCCAATAGAAAGATTTACTTACAAGTTAAATTGTTCGTCATAGAGTGGAAAGCAATTTTTATTATGAACGGCCGTTTTTACTGGTGTAAGCCCATTAAATCGACCAGTAGGCATCATGTAGACTTTAACAAATGAATCACATAGTCCGTTTTTATCCATAGAAACTAAGTTGCGAGCATTTAATATTTTGAGCTGAAATTTAATGAAAATGGGTAAAAAGGGTATACTGGATCTGTGCAAATATAACACGCAAAACGAAGCAAATAATAACTCCAATTGGCACTACAGACAGCTTTAAGGATGTTTCCGAAATGCGATCAAGATCAACTATGCAACATACAAGTTATTAAGGAAAACGTTTGTTCATATTGACAAGCCACGGGAGAGTAACCGCCTAACGTACGTTCTCAAAAAATAATTATAGAATTGCAATTGCAATTGTATTATATATGTGTGCCGCTATTTTTATTATTTGTATACCCTGAACCCATTTAAAATGGGTATAAGGCGTCTAATATATATGTGCAAATGTATGTATGTCCGTCTGTCCGTATGTATGAACGCAAGAGAGTTCAGTTCATGATTAAATTGTCTGGTTGCTTTGCTTAGCTCGCCGAATGGAATGTGGGATCTAATGGTAAATAATATTCATGGTCAAGACTGGTGCTTATAAAGGTCTAAGAGAAATCGGAAGGATGACATAACTGAGTTTACACACTCCATTTTCCGTCTCTATAAATGGCATGATCCCCGCGTGTGATATTTTTGGAATTGTTCCTTTTGTTACAGTTACATTTTATAACTCCGCCATGACTTTTTCTTCCACACCACTATATCAAGTACACTAAGTTTAATTATTATATCGACGATATCTCAGCAAATAATAATAAACAACCTTTGCTTCTTAAAAATTGAACAGATATTTCAGTTTTAAAATGTATGTGCTAGAGGAGTATTTAACTTATTGCTGCTCATTGGATTGTTTGTCCAATATATTCAATATACAATATATGTGAGAGTATTAAGTATTACGCACAGCGAGGCATCCAATTTAAAAAGATCCCATCCAATGCTGTTGGTACCTAGTGTTGCCACACTACCTAAGAACTAATTTCTATTTCGACTAAATTTGACTTAGATAAGAGAAAAGAAAAAAAAAACAGTTGAGGCTTTCAGACTGCTAATATAGACAAATCTAATTTCTTTTTCTACAATGCAGCAATTTCAATACAATGTAATTTTATTTTTATGGTGTTGTTATATGAAATCTTGGTATTTTGAGAGAATTAGAAATAAGGTTGCCTTAACGACAGGTAACTAAATCTGTAATGGCCAGTTATAGTTATTATAAACAGTTCAGAATGAGTCTGAACGAAAGTATCTGTATGCCTCTAAGCTTATGAACTATTAGCAAATTTATTAGTATTTTAGTATCATTGACAATACTAAATAATATAATAATATTAGGAAATTAATATTTGTAATTTAAGATAAAGAAATTAGACTATGAGACGGAATAGAAGTAGAACTCAGATTAGAAAACGGCGCGCGCGGAGTCCGAGTCCAAAATAATTTCCTGCAGTCAAAGTAGAAAGTTTTCCAAGCCCTAATAAGGCAGAAGGTCAAAAAGCTAATAACATATAGGAATATCTTTTAAAGAGTTCTTATGATTAATCATAATACAATATTGAGATAGATTACCAATATGCAGCGGAATTTAGTGGAAGCGTTACGCGTAGAAAGAACTAGACTTTCGTTAAAAAAGTTTAATAACCATCTTAAATTGCCACAATTGCTCGGAATCTCGATTATTAGAGAAAATTTGTGTACTTTTAAGAAGCAAGAGCCAGAAGCTCCTTAAAACAATTTAAAATTGGCTATTACTCGCAAGCTTGGAGAGACAAAAAGAGAATTTTAAATTGATGCGTGTTATGGGGAGAAAATAGCAATTTAAGAAAATTTCTGTTGAAATCTTTATGAATGTAATAAAGTAATAAAGAATTAACGACTGAAAGAATCAGCAGGTGTTGTAACACTTACAAACTTTTTAAAAGAAAATATATTTGTTCGCCCAAAGCATTTACAGTTCAGATCTTCTTTTGTCTGAAGCACAATAACCCGAAAAGCATATTGCTAGTAAACAAAATAGAAATACGTGAATTTAATAAGAATGAATTGCATTCGTTACGTTAAGAGAAGAGTAGAGAAATATATAAGAAAATAGTAAATTTACGAATGGAATAAGAAACTAATATAAGCAGTAAGGTGAATGTTAACAGATCCTATGACAAAATTCAGACAGCTTTCTGACGATATGGTTTATTAGACTCAGGAGCATCCGTTAGTGTATTAGGAGAAAACTGTTTTGAAAGAATTGAAAGAATTGAAAGAATTATAACGGAAAAATATTAAAATAAAACATATTATTATATATATGATGAAACATATTATTTTATTAACCACCAAGTTTAAAAAAAAAAAGTTTAGTTATTTAATTTTTTATTTCTGAATTAGAAGTGCAGCCGCAAAGAGTGTCAATGATTAAAAGCAAATCGATATCGTTTACTCAAACTAAGCAACTTAGGAAATCAATGACAAATTGCCATCGTACCAATTTAGGTATCCATCATATTGATAAGGGTTTATTAGAACCACTTAAGCTTAAGCATTATCACCCACCCAGACAAAATGAAGTTTATGCAGAATACGATTGTATGTTAGAGTAAACGAGGAAAGTAATTCTCCTAGTCCTATGGTATTTGTCTGAAACGCTTGTATTGATTCTCATTGCTTAAAGGTTAAAATGGATTACTTAGTCGATTGAAAGATTTGAACGTCATTTCAAGTATATATATAAAAAAAAAGTGATTTTGCAAACCACAATAATACCCTGAAACTAATATCTTATTGTTTGAGAGTAAGCTTTGTCAACAAAAATCGAGAAAGAAAGGCTAATACCCTTGCAAGCCCACTATTTTCATAATGCTTATAGTGCTTTCTCGTACCTAAGAAACACAGGGAAAATAGGTAATGCCAAGTTTGATCAAGATATCTTGATAAACAAAAAGGTTTTTTATAAAAAATCTAGTTTTCGACCGATCGTTGCTATGGCAGCTATATGAGATGGTTGTCCGAACTCAATAGGATTTTGCATATTTATAGGGAGCATAGTCAATCTAATAAATGGTGAGTTTGGTCAAGATATCTTGATAAACAACATTTTTTTTCATACAACAACTTAATTTTCGACCGACCGTTCCTATGGCAGCTATATGACATAGTGGTCCGATCCAGCTGGTTTTGGCATATGTGCTGCGTGCAGCAAAATATGGGTTTTCTACAAAGTTTAAGCTTTTAAACTGAGAGACTTATTCGCATAGAAACAGACAGACGTACAGACGGACATGGCTACATCGGCTGTTGATGCTGATCAAGAATATATATACTTTATGGGGTCGGAGATGTCTCCTTCTATGCGTTGCTAATATCACGACAAAATTAAAATACCCTCTGAAAGGGTATAAATAAATACTGTCTCTGAGAAGGTTGAAGATTTCTCAACATGACTGAATATTATAGCCAGTTAATCCAGCATAATGGGCTGCGACGCGTTGCAGGCATTAGGTGCCGTTCTAACGTTATGTGATATAAACGACAAAGAGCACTCTATAGTTTACGTTTCTCAGAAATTCAGCAAGTAAACGGTTCTAGTCGGAACTCCCGACTAGGAAATACCCTAAACCCTCCTATTCCAACAGCAAATAAATTTAAAAAAATAGTTTCCTTGGCAGGGTTCGAACTTGCAACTGACCGCATTACTTGCTGTCGACTCTACTCAACAGCCACACCAGCAAAAAAAAAATACTTTCCCCGGAAGGGCTTGAACTCGCGACAGACCGCATCACTTGCTATGCCTATACTCAACAGCCACATCAATAACTAAGTATTATTGTGAAAAAATGAATAATAATCGCAGCAATCGCAATCGTAATGCTGTTGATAGATTTCGAAACAAACACCGAAGAATGTATGTGTGTGTGTACATGTATACAGAAATTCTTGGCATGTGCGGTCCATCCAGTTACGCAGGAAAACACAACTTTAGTTTTTTCTTAACTGATCTTTTTCGATTCTTGACATATATAATATACTAGAGGCAACATATTATGTTTGGTGACTCTATCTCTTATTTTATACCCAATTTGCTCACAAAACAGGATGTCTATATCGATTTTTAACGATTGCGTGGAAACGGAGTAAGTTACCGATTATCGGAAACAAACTCGATCTGCGCAGGTACTAGAAGGACCTACATCTAAAATTCTCTAGTTCCTATAGGTTCTGAGATCCTTGCGTTCATAATACGGACAAACGGACAGACCGACAGATTGACAGACAGACAGACGGATAGACATGGCTAGACCGACTGCCGAGTCGATGCTGATCAAGAATATATGTACTTTATGGGGTCGGAGATGCTTTTTTCTGCCTGTTATATACATTTGCATTTTGCACAAATACAATATACCCTTATACCCATTATTAACGGGCTCAGAGTATAAAAAGGACAATTCCAAAAAATCACCCTCGGGGATTGGCGTTGCTTTGACCAGATAAATTCGTAGGGACCGAAAATTGAGTGTGTAAGCTAAGTTATGTCATCTAACTGAGCAAATATGTTGTGTATAATGAGGTTCTTCCATGTTTCTTTTAACACTTTTTATCACCCTTCTTGACACGTATATTTGTTATTTATTGTTAATAATATTGTTTAGCCACGAGTTTGTTTACTTTAAAACCCATACCCCATCCGGCGAGCTACGCAAAGTAGCCAGACGTGTGAAGCATGAAGCGAACACTCATACGGATTAAACCTTGAGAAGTTAAGTTGTCGATATTGATAACCTTTCGAGGGATCTCATCATAGTCAAGCACACCTCAAGTTTATACTTACTAATAATCCAGAATCTGTAAATTGTCCGGTAATTGTAAGTTGCCCGAAATGTGCTGTGGATTGTTCTCTTTGATTTCTATACCGGTCTAGATAATATTGGTGGATAAGATCAGCAGTTTCGAGAGCATGGAGGTCTAGTATGCTTTCAATCTCTGATAAAATTTTAACATCTGATGTTTTTGCGTCTCCAATTTTGAAGCAAGATATCATAGTGCGGAGAGTGTCCCTCAAGTTTTGAAAAAATGCTGGCGGTCGGCGTTTCTAAAATGAAAATGCATATTATAAGATCCTAGACGGTTTTGATCTATACTCACATCGAGATTAGACTGAATAAGGTCATATATTATTATCGACAATTCTCCCCAAATACCGTCCAAAATTCTGCCAAAGTTGACTTCATTAAGAGTATCATAAAGCGTCGTTAATGACCGTTCTAAGTACATCATCAGCCTTTCCATAGAATTTGAGTCTTTATGGAGTACTTCTGCCCCTTCTGTTAAGAATCTACGTATAGATGGAGACATCTTGCGGGCAACATGTTCTATCATTTCAACAATTTGATTACGCTGTGTATCGAGGGCATTATCAATTACAGCTTTTATCGTGTCGGAGCACCGTTCAGCTTCCAGATTGGTTCTGTATTCTCCTATTCTTCGAATCACATCATCAGCACCCAGTTCCTAAAAAATATATTAATAAGATTTTATTAATAAATTGATTAATATATTAATATTTAAAATTGTTTTAATTTATTAAAAAATAAATAAATATCGATTATTACTAGATTTTCTATTTATTTTTTTTAAAGTATTAATAACAAAACAAGTAAGAGGTTCTAGGCCGGGAGCTCCCGACTAGGGGATAACCTGAACCCTCTGATTCCAACATCAAACAAATTGAAAAAAAATAGTTCCCTTGGCAGGGTTCGAACTCGCAACTGACCGCATTACTTGCTGTCGACTCTACTCAACAGCCGCACCAGGAAAAAAAGAATTCTTTCCCCGGTAGGGCTCGAATTCGCGACAGACCGCACCACTTGCTATGCCTCTACTCAGCAGCCACACAAATAAATAAGTACTTATGATAAAAAGGAGCTAAAATAGCATTACAGAAAAATATCACAATTACCATGCTGTTAGAATGCGAAGCAGACGCGCATAATATGTGTGTGTGTACATGTAAACAGAAATTCTTAAAAAAATTCAATTGTGCAGTTGCATATAACTTTGGCTTTTTCTTAACCGATCTTTATGAAATTTTCTACAGTATATCTTATTGTACCATAGAATATTTGGTTGGCAATAAAAGTTGGGTTATTAACTTGATTTATAGCTCTTCGGAAGTAGCGGGGAGGTGACGGTAGGTATAAAATGAAAGATACTTGATATATCACGATACTAATGACCATAATTCGAACAGGGGACTAGGTCAAGGCCAAAGGCATCGCAAAGTGCATCCGTTTTGCTCACGTGCTAATCTCCTCCTCTGGGCGAATCGAGTAAGTAATATTCAACGCTCTCATATTTTTCCCACATTTCCGCAATTAGAGCAGTAGAACAGTGAGATCGGCGTTGCCACCTCCGCAATTTCCGCCATCCTAAGGCGATTCAGGATATTCGTCGATATCCCGATTCTGACTATCGACTGCCCTTGAGCCTCCCCATGCAAGACTACAGTCGGCAAGCTGGCTCAGCATAAGCAACAGAGCACAGAACTGAACATATCGGTGTGTCGGCACCATGATTGCAACTCTTAGCCAATGCGCAGACTACTAAGTGCAAGAGCTACACGTTAACTTGTAGAAGAAAAAAATCATAAACTTCTATAATAAAGCAGAGACACATCTAAGGCTCCGAAATCCGCCAACAAATTGAAAGAAATACACGTATATGCAGATTTCAAAGAAATTGTTATTAAAACTAAGATACCTTTTACACCCAGCTATTCAATTACGCTTTCCCGATTATCAAAATATTATTCAGAACATAATCACTGAGTGTGAGGCATGCATTGAAACAACAACAACAAAGAAATTCCAAGATCAATCAAGTTGATCTTATAACTTTACTTTATTAACAATTTTCTTACTTTCTTTTTTCCTATTTATTGTATTTTCTTTATTAATATAGCAAATTAAGATTATTTTTAATTTCACTTGAGATCACTTTTTTCCTACTTACAACCTTCTGCTTAGATGTAGGCTCTAATAGCGTCACTGACAAAATTAGCTGTGAAAAGGGGCACAGCTGGCCGGACTGGCAAATAAAACACCTCCATCGGTCGGTGATGCTATTTAGAAAATTGTATCCTTTAACTAGGCTTTTAGCATATAATTATATTGTACAATTTTGAATAATGAGGAAGACACTCGTTTTGTCGACCATTAATAAATAAATAAATAAAATAATAAATAAAATAAAATAAATAAGTATTTGATCCCAGACACAGATCTAAGCCTCCTTGAAGAAAACAGATCATATGGAGCAGAGAGACGAAAAACACTTTAAGCACACAAACAAACAGGGAAAGGAACATAAATTATTATTTATTCAAATGTAATAAGAAGAAAATATTTAGAAGTAAATAACGTACCAGTAAATTACGAATATCATTATTTGTCCGTTTACATAACCAACACAGAAATAACGTATAACAATTAATTTAAAAAAAAAAACTGAATAATAAGATAATCTTGCACAAATCTATAATTCAAAAGAAAACCTTAATAGAGAAATAAATGGCTTAAGAAAAGCAAAGATATGTATAGGGTCCTTCGTGCAAGGATCGTCAAACTCCGCTAAATGAAACTTCGATAAATGAAACCCAACATTATTCTGGCCTTATTGACCATGAGCAACGAATTTAGGTTTATGAGCAAGAATGACACCTAGATCATTAAGTTCATTAGTGGTTGTGTTGACACGCTCGAGTGTTAAGATATAAATAGTGTAAGAAACCATTTTAGGAGGGCTTGTATCGAGCCCTTTTTATACCCTTGCAGAGGGTATTATAATTTTGTCGTGAAATGGTTCACGCATAGAAGAAGACATCTCCGACCCCATATATTCTTGATCAGCATCAACAGTCGATATAGCCATGTCCGTCTGACCGTCTGTATGTCTGTCTGTTTCTATGCGAACTAGTCTCTCAGCTTTAAAGCTATCTTAATGAAACTTTGCAGAAGTCCCTCTTTTTGTTGCACGCAGCACATATGTCAAAACCAGGATCGGACCACTGTATCATTTAGCTGCCATAGGAACGATTGGTCGAAAGTAGGGCTGTTGTATAAAAAAACATTTTGTTTTTCAAGATATCTTGACCAAGCTCGATATTTATTAAATATTACTTTACTCCTCATATACACGCAAAATCCTATTAATATCGGACTACTATATCATATAGCTGCCATAGGAACGATCGGTCGAAAATTAAGTTTTTGTATGAAAAAACATTTTGTTTTTCAAGATATCTTGATTAAACTCGGCATTTATTAGTTTTACTTTACTCTTCATATATGTGCGAAATCCAATTAATATCGGATCACTATATCATATAGCTGCCATTGGACTGATCGGTCGAAAATTAAGTTTTTGTATAAATAACATTTTGTTTTTCAAGATATCTTGACCAAACTCGGCATTTATTAGTTTTACTTTACTCCTCATACATATGCAAAATCCTATTAAGATCGGACCACTATATCATATAGCTCTTTTTCTATTGTACTGTAATTTTGTTCATGATCGTTTAACGTTCTACTTGAGAAACTAATTGGCTTGTTATCTTGTGACAACACAGCTCCTATTGCAAAATTACTTGCGTCGGTTGTTACCTGAAACTTTTTATTAAAGTCTGGACATACTAATATTGGGTCGTTTATAATTTATATTTTTAATTTTTCAAAGGCTTTATTGTATTCAACATTTTTGATATCAATTTTTGCCGCTTTCTTTAGGTAAAGAGTCATGGGTTTTGCAATTTTTGCAAAATCTGGAATGAACTTTCGATAATAACCACATAATCCTAGAAATGATTTAATTTCCTTTGATGTTTTTGGCAAAGGAAATTCTTGTATTGCTTTTACTTTCAATTTGTTTGGCCGTATGCCTTCTGGACTTATAATATGGCCTAAGAATTCTGTTTCCTTTTTTAAAAACTCGCACTTATCTAATTGAAGTTTCAAATTTGCCGGTCTTAATTTTTCAAAAACTTTATTTATTGAATTTAAATGTTCTTCAAGTGATGTGGAGAAGACAATAATGTCGTCCAAATAAACAAGACAATGCTTGTTAATTAAATCACGAAGAACGTGATTCATGCACCTTTGGAATGTTGCTGGTGCATTTTTAAGTCCAAATGGCATTCGAGTATACTCGTAATGTCCGTATTTGGTAGAAAATGCTGTTTTATTAATTGAGTTCCTGTCCATCTCAATCTGATGGAAACCTTTTGCTAAATCTATTGTTGTAAAGTATGAACATCTTCCTAATTTTCCCAAAATCTCGTCCATGTTTGGAATGGGGAATTTATCATTGATTGTAATGTCGTTTAATCCTCTGTAATCGACCACTAATCTAAATTTTGCCTTTCCTGAGGCGTCTGCCTTTTTTGGTACGATCCATAAGGGACTACAATAAGGCGACTGGCTATGCCGAATAATACCTTGGGTAAGCATATCTTTAATTTGCTTTTCGACTTCTTGTTCGAAAGCGAAAGGGTAACCGTATGTTTTCTTGTAAATTGGATTTTCATGATGTGTATTAACTTTTAACTTCTATCCAATCCTTGCCGTTAAGTTCAATTACATTTGCAAATTTTGAATATAAATCAATACATATTAAATAGCTGTGGTTTTTTATTGAATAAATGTCTACTACGTAAGTTTCTCTACAGTTTTCTACTTCTGGTGTAATTTTAAATTTACAAGATGTGTTCCTGTGATCAATTTCAGCTAGATTACAAACTTCACATTCGTTAATTATGTTTTGGATTAAATTTTGATAGTCTGGGTAATAATATGTTTCTTTGAAAAGTCTGACCATCTTTTCGATGCCTGGATGTAAAAGTTTCTTGTGGTTGCTAACTATTATTTCTTTAAATTCTGCATAGCTCCTAATGTCTTTCAGTTTAAAATTTGTTCGTAATATTCGAGTTGTTTTGGGGTTCATTATTTCTTTAAAGGCTTGTTGTATTATCTCAAAATCGGAATCGTATTCAATGTATAATACGCTTGAATTTTTGCAAAAATGTTTTATCAATATCTGTTTAGCTTTTTCAATGTTTAAGTTTAAATATTCGATTTTTATTCCTAATTTTTTAAAATATGGTGCAACTTCTATTTGCTCGGTATCACTTCTAATCATTTCTATTTGTCTTCTAAAATAGTTTAATGGTTTTTCTGTTAAATGTATTAAATTTTCATTATCTTCTTCAGCGCTATGTGCTGTAGCTTGTGTGTTAATATCTTGTTCGCCTAGCATATTTTCTTCAATTTTGATGCGTGATAAAGCATCTGCTACGTGGTTTAATTTTCCTTCTAAGTATTTAATACGCCAACGTTGTAATTTCATGTTGGGTTCTTTAATGTTGTTTAGCCAAAAGAGTGGCTTATGATCGCTTAAAATGTCAAATGGTCTGCCATATAAATATGGGCGAAAATATTTTACTGCCCACACTATTG